TTCAGATTATGATCCGGTGAGTCACAAAATCTGGCAAATTCCGAAATCCGGTATATTCCGTATTCCGGAATCCGGTTGTTCCGGATACATGTAAATCCGGCGGAACCGGATTTCACCGGATAGTGCAAAATCCGGCGGAACCGGATTCCGGACCGGGGTCCGGCACACCCCTAATGACAATGTCATTTAAGTGTTTTATTTCTTTTTGGTACATGACAATGTCATTTAAGTTTTTTATTCTTTTTGGTACATGACAGTGTCATTTAAGTGTTTTATTCTTTTTGGTACATGAAAATGTCATTTAAGTGTTTTATTTCTTTTTGGTACATGACAATGTCATTTAAGTGTTTTATTCTTTTGGTACATGACAGTGTCATTTAAGTGTTTTATTTATTTTTGGTACATGACAGTGTCATTTAAGTATTTTATTCTTTTTGGTACATGACAATCACCTTAACTTTAATGGCTGGGCTTGAAGTAAACTGTTTATATCGTTGAGTATAGAGAAATATGAGATATTATTTTGTTATCAAATGCATGATGTGATCATAAATGTATGTAATCTTGTTTCTTTGTTTCAACAGAGTTGATGGGGCAGTGCTTGGAGAGATGATTCTTATATACCTCTACAATGAAGATGATAAAAAAGCATGGTAGGTTTTTGAGTAAATAAAACAAGAGTAAACTAGAAAATCATTGTATTGTTTAGATACTTAGATGGTTTCCAGATATTGAGGGAAGTAGAGTAAAATGTTAGTCTTAAATATAGTTTGGTTTGTGTATCGGCTTTTAAATGAGAATTCATTTTCAATTTTTACCTATGATCACCTCCAACTACATGTGTATTCCTAACTATAAATTCATTGACATTATTCCTAACTATAAAAGTGTTGGACCTCGATAAAGCTTTAAAATAGATGAAGGCATTTGCCGAAACGTCTATTTGTGTATTATGTAAAATTATTATTAAAGCTTAACATATATTGTTATATTGACACAAATTGTTCTTGTCTAATTAATTTGTTCCTAACTACAGGGAGCTTTTTCAGATGTACCAAAAAGACCACACGTTGAGAGCAACCAATCCAAGGTACATTTCTCTAGATACCAGTCTACCATGGTAGGATAAATAATTTAAACTATGAAAGCTTTTTTTTTTTTTAAATCTGATTTATCACGGTTAGTCAGATGTTTTTAATATTGGCCCCAGGTTAAAATAATCTGATGTCATGTGTCTTTCCCATAGTGAAAAGTCTTTGATCAAACTGACTGAGCACATGATAGCAGCAAAGGACTATGATTCTACAAAGGTTTGTTAAATATACCCTTTTAAAATTTTTTTATTCTATTTGAGCATTTTAACTGCTTTCTGCTATAGTTAATCTTTCTAAATAGTGCTGTGGCAATTAGCTTGATCAGATCATATGGTTTACATCAAACATTTATTAGGCTGGAGTAACTTAGTCAGTGTTTTATTGACTTTGGGAAGTTTAAAAAATGTACAGTAGTAAGCTAGTTATGTGGTGTCACTAGGTGGGTGCAGAAGCTTAAGACTTCACTATTAACAGAGGGGCTCTGTATGAACTATGATCTGATTCAGGATGAAGTCCATGCAGGGTGAAATCGTAAAGTACTGCCCTGGATTACAACTAATGCTTTTAGCTATTCATGTAATACAAAGATAGATTTTCCATGAGGGTTAAATCTTTTCATGATTAGCCTAGGTAGTGATTTGCATTTTTTCATGATGAGCCTAGGTAATGCTGTACATTTTTTTCATGATTAGCATAGGTAATGATGTTCATCTTTCAAAGTGGAGTTGAAATTTTTTTATCAACCCTTCTAAAAGTTAACCCAAAGAACAGCAACTGTAAAGTCTTTTGCAAATGTTTCCCATGAAGGGAATGACAACATTGCTTAATGCTGATGCTATTTAATAATATAATACACTTGGTCACCTGTCATTTTTTTATTTAAACAATGCCTACACAATTATATGGCCACATCAGTGCTACCCGCTTCCCCTTTGGGACCAAGCCATGTGGATGCAGCCATTGCAAAATCCAGTCTCAACACATTCCCTTCCCTAAGGGTAGTTTTCGGATAAGGGACGGTTTCCTTTGCATTAGCCCCAATTTTATCTATGCCATTGTTTGTCTAATCGGCATCCTTCCGTCTCGTGAGACGATGGTGCATCACCGTTGGGTTGGGTTGCATTTTCTCGAGTGGCTGTGCAGTCCTTATCCTTGAGTGACAGTCTTTACCACAGTTTTTACACACGAGTTCCGTGCTTCTAAATGTTTTGGCCTTTCTCCTAGCTCTTCTGTCTGCAGCCTCTTCCATTCTTCGCTCCTCGGCTACCATGACGCCCTCTTTGACAACTGTGCGCCACGTAGTTGCCTTACACTCCCAGTCACTTGTATGTATTTTGGCTGCTTTCATGTCCCTTTGACAGACATCTTTAAATCGCAGACGTGGGCGACCTGTTTTCCTCTTTCCCGAAGCAAGTTCACCATATAGGAGGTCTTTTGGAATGCGGCCGGGACTCATTCTTTTAACATGACCTAGCCATCTCAGGCGTCTTTCACTAAGGATTGTGAACATGCTTTGGGTATTCGCACGCATTAGGACCTCACTATTAGTCACTTTTTCTTGCCATTTAATACCAAGGATGCGACGCAGGCATCTCATATGGAAGCTATTAAGCTTGCGCCATTGTTTGTATCCACTGCTGTAGGGAGTATCTGGGCAAAACTGAATGGCGTCTCAGGCATGTATGCTGAACACCTTCCAAATTTATCTTGTGTCCTATCTCAAAACACCTCAATAGTAGCGACCACAAGGGCTCCTGTGACCTGACTATCACCGCCATTGTGTCTTTGACCAACGCACCCTCCAGGCTGAGCTTAGAGAACAAACTGATTCAGGCTTGTTGTACCATGACACCATAAGGCATGAATGTCATGTTCTCATTCACCTGTTAAATCTTTTCTCCACCTCCTTTTTGTTACAACTAATTGCCAATGACTTACTTTTTCTCACTTCATTCCCACATTGCCTATATCAACTCTCTTATCTTCTAATGGTCTATTACGTTCCTCTTGCTGTCCTCTTGGATACTAAATTGCAGCTAGGTTTTCATTTTCATATTGTATTTACTTTTGTTTGGAAGAAGGCTTCTTGACAATACGTTTGTTGTTTTGTTGCATCCTTTTTTTTTCAGGTTTTTCCCATACTCCGTTTCACTTGTTTCCATATATAACTTATTATAAAGGTGTGGATATACATGGTTGTGACAAATGTATTGTTTTAATTAAAAATTTTTATATAATAAGGAATTGCGCCTTGGAAGAGTTTATTAACCTGTAATTTTCTCCAATTTGTTTACAGCAAGTACTGACCAGAATGCTTGAACTTGAATGTGGTGGTATCCCAGCCTTAGTAGATAAAACGTTACAAGCTTTTGAGCTCTCTGAACAAGAAAGGTAACATAATAGACATCTACATCTTGATTAACATGTCTTAAATGGATTGTCTTTTTAATGCTTATTTAATATTCTATTTTATTATGTAGTATTTCTCTTTTCATTAACTAAGTATTCCTTCATAGATATTCATATTTAAAAATTGATTGATATTGTGAGAGGAATGTAAAATAATAAAATTTCAACATACAAGAATGAGCCTGAAATAATTAGTAGATTGGCTTTATGAGGGAGATAATGAAATCTCATTAAAACATCTAGGCATACTTTTTTTGTTTTTTTAGATTGGATAAAATTTTATATATTTTCAGACTAATGTTTTAGTTAATCATACTAACGTATGAATTAGGATATAATTAGAGACCACGGTGTCGACTTGCAAAATAACTTAATTTGTTCAATTGTGTCATTCACCAGGAATTACTTAGAAGGGGTAGCAAGTGATGCAGCAAGTGAGCCATCAAGTGATTCATCGTCATCTTCTGACAACGGTTCATCCTCTGATTCAGACTGACCTACTGCAAGGGAAACTAGAGTTAATAGTCTCAGGTGCTTATGAGGAGAGAGAAAACAGTGACGTAAAATTCATTCAGGAGATAGTCATTTACTGGCAGGCAGTATGGCAGTATGAAAAACATTGAAGAGAAATTTTATTGATTAAACTTTTACTCATATTTAAATAGTTTTCATAAATACCAAATGATTAATAGAATCATAGCAACACTTTTATTCAAACTTTAATTAGTATAAGTCTATAGAGAATGCTGACATTTGTTTTATGTACACCTGTATAGAACACCATTTTTGTCATAGTATTTGAGATACGTTTCTTATATTTGCAATTATGAAAAAAATTATTACTGTTAATAAATTAATGAATGTATTTTTAGTTTTCTGATGGCTTTTTTTTGTGTGTTTTTGTTTGCTGTTGTGTGTGTGTGATGGTTTGGGGGACATGCTCATTGTGCTTGTATAAACTTATGCATTTTAATAATTACCTTTGCTTATTTTTCACTTCATTTCTCTGGTCCATGAAGAGCAAAACCCAAAAATAGATATCCCTCCACCCCACACTCAAATTTCATACATTTAGCCATTAAATAACAAGCAATTCCTTAATTGATTCACATGACATTGTTTGGTTCCCTTCACTTGAATGCTGCACTAGTTGATATGAGAATAATTTATATTCATTTTTTTCTCATTCCAAATTACCTTTTTTGGCATATGACAATCAACCATAGACAAATTGGTGTTACAAGACAAAAGAACTGTCCTTGATTTTGTAAAAAGAGAAGAGAACTCTGATCAAACAAAAAGCTAAGACTCTGTTCAAAATTACAATTACTCACACTCAGGAACTCAACAGTTATTAATCACACAATTATTCAACGAAAGTCTTGCTACAGATTAATTTAAAGGATCAAAGAAAAACAAGGATTTTTCAAGACTGGAAAAAATATATATGATGAATGAAAAATTACAACAGCAACATTGTAAAACAGAAAACATATATTTTCAAGAAATAATTTTAATAAAATGTGTTGAGACAAGTACAGTGTGCAATCTCGTAAATAATCTTAACAATTATAAAAAAATGATGGGACATAACTTACGGGTATTTGCAAATGATGGCTCACAAACTCTTTTACTTTTTAGATCAACATTTACATGGGAGAGAAGAGAGAATGTTGGGCAATTCAATAAACAATTAGTGCTCTGTTTAGCTCTATATGTTAATTTTTTTATGACTTAAATGTGATCCCACAAGGCAGGGAAGCACAAATACTTCATTTGAGCAAATGGAATGAACTTAAGGGTAACTACTACTTGGCCTAAAATTCAAATAATTATCAACATAAAAGAATAGTAATAATTTGAATGTCTATTTTAATCATTTTTGAAACAAAAATATTAAGGTTTCATTAACTTGTAATTATTTAACATTACTCTTCATGATAGTAGGGTTTCTAAAAACTATCTTTGCACCTGGGTACACTTTTAAGAGTGAAAATTTTTTTTTGCCCAGCACATATCTAGTGAAATGAACATTCTAAAATAAGCAATGATTTGATAAGCAGTAAAAGTGAGAACAAAATCAACATCTGACATGAAAACTACTTTAAATGATTTTATCTAGAAAGTGTACTGCAGTACCATCACACAAAACATGATTATTCTTGATGTCCTCTTTAGCTATACTATAAATTCTGAAATTTGGTAAGATTCAAACATATATTGGTTTCTGAGCATATTTGTTATTGTTATAAATCTTTCACTATATTCACTTTCACTCAGACCACAAAAATGGGCAGTGTCACATCTTTTGGGTTATTCAGTCCAGCGATTATGCAATCACTAGTGGAGCTTTAATTTCACTTTATACAATTTTTAAAAAATATATGAATATCAATATATGAACCAATTCAAATTCTCTAAAATCTCAATATTAGGAGTAAGCCTTTAAAATTTTTAAAATATAACACATCATTTATTGCACTGTTGGTGCCTGTGTCATGTTGAAGAAATGTTCAGCCATTGTTTCAGCATCAGCCACACCTTCACAATAGTATCGCCATGACTCTGGGATAGCCTCCATGCCATAAAGAGCCCCGGCCATGGCCCCTGCCATAGTGGCAACAGTGTCAGTGTCTCCTCCCAAGGTAATGGCATAAAGGACTGTTTGTGAAAATTTGTTGTGATCCTGATGGTGTAAATTACTTTTAGAATCAAGTCAAATGAATCAGATATATATTTGAATGTTTATTTTATATACACATTCATGTAATAATGGAACATTTTCATGCCCTTTTTAATTTTAGCCTATAGATTAAGAGAAAGACTACAATACTACACTTCTTGAAAGTCTATATCTCATCCCTGATCAAAAAATTATTTTTCTTTACCTTCAGTTTAGGAATGTTCTGGATAGCTGCCTTTAAAAAGCATAAAACTGCAGCCGGCACTGACCCAAGAGCAGAAACATCTGTACCTGTTGTGAATAATTATTAAAGCCTCTTTAATGAACTCAGATATTAAAAACAAAAGATGACAATTGAAAATAAATTTGAATGCTGGAAAATAGCTTTGAGGTGCAGAGAAAATGTGTCTTTTATTTCATTTTAAAGAAATAACTGCTGGGAAATTTTTTTAAATGTAAGGTCCACCATCAAGCGTAAGAATTTGTATAACTTTTTCTCTGGTTTACCTCAAAGTTTTATTTAGTTTTTATCCTTTTTGGTCCTCAATTTCAATTAAATTAAAATGTTAGAGGATTTCTTCATTTCTGATAAGGAAAGCTAAATTGTATTGTTAGAAAATAGAGACTTTTCTGTATAAATTAAATTGTATTTCTTGAAACTGAAACATTACACGTTGTAGTAACTGTGCAATTAACAATTCTAACATATTTAAAACTAGGACTACAATTTTATTGTGGTAGCAAATGGTTCTTTTACTTAACAATATCACTGGTAATTGAATGCTTTTCTGCATAGCTTTATGTAATTGTTTACCTAGTTCTTCCACTACAGTTGCAGTTTTTAAATTAGGTTCTTTGAGCATTTCCTTTATTCTCTTCAGTTTGGCACAGTAAGGAGTTGCACTGGCATCCAGGACTCTGTTAATAAAATATTCAAAATTTCAATTTTTTTAAAAAGAATTTTAATTGATAAATATGTCCCAAAATATAAACAGAAACACGATCAGATGCCACAAGCTTTGGTAATTCAATAAAAAAACTGAGAGTAGAAAGAATGTTGTTTTTTTTTTAATTACACACAAATAAATGTAAATACTTCTAGGTAATGGTTTTTTTTTCATTATTTAATTACTTATGAGCTTCAAAGGTTATTTAAACTTAGGAAATATTTTCTTTTTATAAAATCATTTTTTGTTTAACTTTACTATAACTTGAATTAAAATGGATTTCTTTGCTGGAGGATAAATTATTCCAACGACAAAATAGAATTTATTGAAAAAGAAAAAAAAAGAGAATGTGTTTTAAAAAGTCATCTTGCCTTTTGGAATTTTTCTTTAGTGGGGGTGGTCCCATGCTACTCTTGTCATGTTCCTCCTCTAACGGTCTCAGTTTTATTATCAGGGCTTCAATAAACTCATCACAATCCACAGCTGTGTCTTGGGGCAATCTCAGACTCTGATCAACAGCCAGAGCCACCAGGATGGCTCCATGTATGGCCAAATGATTTGTGTGCGTCAGCCTGGTGATGGATGAGACAAGGCTCTGAAGGAAAATGGAAATTATTAGAACATAAGAGTATATCTAAAAAGGATCATTTACATTTAATTCTGTTTTATTTGTTGCTTATAAAAGTATCCTCCTAGATGTTGAATTTAAATCTCGGTAAAATAACATAAAAGAACGAAATTTATTTTCTTTCAATGAAATTAACTGAAATTTGTTTTTTATAGAGAATTACGAAAACAGCTTACTGGAGAACATAACAAATTTAGCTATTATATTGTGTAAATAACACATATCTCACTTTATTTGCACAATTTAGATTTTACCCTGTTAGATAATAATGGTGATATTTTTTAATAATTTAAAATGTTTCTTAATTATTTTTATTTATCTTTAAGAGCAAAATTTCTTGTTAGTATTTTAATTTGGCTTAAAATCATGGCATGTTTCTTGTTTTAGTTGGAAACTTTCATTTCCCATTTGTTAGCTTTCAGTTCTGAGGCATTTATGCATTTAATAAGAATATTTTTAGAAATTGTTAATCTTTGCTTCCATAAGTTTTCATTTTAAATTGAAGCCATAATATTATCCAAACTGAGCTTCCTATTTATTTTAAAATATGCAGGGTGTTTCCTTTTAAGAATGTAACCTCAGAGACATTTTGAAGTATAACTATATGTATAAAATATATTACTATCAGTTTTGTGGCATTATTGTCACAGAAAGTAAACAATGCAGCTGGTGCAATTCTCATTGCTCCCCCATTGCCATAGGATCCACTGCCCTCAAACTGCTTGCTTGCTGGCTGGTATACATCAGTTGTATTGGTATCTCGGATTCCATCAAAAACAGCTGCGATGCTCCCTCCATATCCTCTATCTGGCTCTCTGAAATATTCTTCAGCAAACCTAAGAATAGCAGAAGTTTGCTTTACAGCTATAATCAACAGGAGAATACCTAAACGTAATTCTGGGTTAGCATGTCATAATATAGATTTATTATAATATTCTCTTGGTACTCTAAGTAGCATCTTTATGTTACTTTCAATAGCATTACATTTTGAAAATCCACAAATGTTTTTGCAAAGTAACATTACCTTTTCCCCATATCTGGAGCATCAAACTGACCCTTATCAATTAGAGAACCAGCCACACTTCTCGCCATGGCAGTATCATCTGTATAGCTAAATCCATATTTTTCTGCAGGTTTTGTCCCGTGCTCTCTTTGAGTCTGTCTATCTGATGATAAGAGCATTTGCCTTTAAAATAAATGACTAGACCGAGATTTCAAGACATATTTCATTTTGAGAAGTCACAAGAATGTTCACTTTCAAAGAAAACTCTAATTCAAAGTTAAACAAATGTAATTAAAAATATTACAGTAAAAAAACAGGCCTACCTTTTTCTAATTTGTTGATACGCTCTATAAGATCATTGGTTTTTACATGGCTTAATCCTTCATACAGAGCACCAATACAGTCCCCCACCACCCCTCCAACAAGACAACCTTTAAAGCGGGACAGAAGTATCTTGTCCATAAGTTTTGTTGCCATACATAAGACTGGTAAGTATTTTTGTCAGTATCTGAAAGTATTTTTAATCTAAGTTAATTAATTTTGCTGAAATTTGTTTTAGAGCAAAATAAATCAATACAAATTACAAAACAAATATAATTAAATGCATTGACATGTGTATGAAAAGTGAGAGCTTACTTATAATCTTTGTTGAGCTCTAAGTCTAAGATCTTCATAACAGCTGACCAAACAGTTGATTACATTAAATTGAATGCAGTAATGGCAGTATAGCCAACCTCAAAATTTGATGAATGCTGTGAATGTGATTCCCAATCTTTGTAAATTATTTTTTTTTCATTTGGGGATACTTTGGGTGTGCCTTTCCATTTTTAAAATTTACAAATAATGTTGTTTTTTTTTTAAATGAATCAATTGCAATAACCATGTTTCAACTTTCAGGTATGTATTAGTATTATTTTCAATGCTAAAAATCAAGCATGCTTCTTTTTAAAAAATATGAATGACGTCACTGTCAGGGTGCTGTTTTGTTGTTTTAAAAATTTATAATATAAAACTACAAAGAACTAGATTTAGTTATGTATACTGACTAATACTGTAGACCTACTGGATATATTACTTTTTATGACGAAATCGAGATGATACTAATGAATGATAGATGATGTTTGTTTTTTTTCGCTAGAAACTTCAGATCAACAAACTAATTAATTTTTAATTTTCTTGTAACGTTAGTGAATGAACAGTTAGTAACAGGCTTTAACATGACATAAATGACATTCATTTTGATTTTGTTATTTTAATGTGTCATAGACTAAAACTTGGAGGAATCATCGGGAAAGTTGTTTTTTTTTTTTTTTTTTTTTTTTTTTTCGTTAAAAACTTCAGATCAAAAAACTAATTAATTTTTAATTTTTTTGTAACGTTAGTGAATGAACAGTTAGTAACAGGCTTTAACATGACATAAATGACATTTATTTTGATTTTGTTATTTTAATGTGTCATAGACTAAAACTTGGAGGAATCATCGGGAAAGTTGTTTTTTTTTTTTTTTTTTTTTTTTTTTTTTTAATAATTCGTTGTCCCATATTAAATCGACCTGGTGTATCTTATGTATTAAAAAAAATAGCCATGTCAATTTCAAGTCTCTAAGTCTAAGTTCTAAGTTAAGATTAAGATGGCAATACTATTATTATTATTTATTTTGGCCAGAATGGGGGTCTAAAATTTTATTATTGCTGTTAAAAAAAAAATAGCCAAAAAAAACGAAGAAAGCGATAAAAAAATTTTTGGGCCATGCACATTTATTTATTTACACTTAGTCACTAAGTCTAAGTAAGTCACTTACACTTTAATACTTGTTTAATACTTAAAGTTTAATTATGGCATAGGTATAAGCATTTGTTAAAAAATAATAATAATTTAAAAATATTTATTTTTAGACGTGACATATTATATTATATTAACACAGACGTGTTTAAAGTGTCTTAATTAAAATTTAATTACATTAAAATTTATTGTAAAAATGCTATGAATCATGAACAATTTATTTGCTTTTTTTACTTTTTAAGGCAAGAAATCGCAAAAAAGATATTGAAAATAATAATATGTAATAATAATTCTAATAAATATACTTTATAATATAATTTATACACTTAAGACTTAAGTCTGAAGACTTACTAAATTACTTTCACTTTCTAATTCTGTGACTTCTTCACTTTATTTTACTTTTACTTTTTACTTCTTACTCTTACTAACTCTTACTCTTACAGTTACAGATTTAACAGATGCGTTCATTTCTAAATTCCTTTAATTTTAAAATTTAATCCAAATACTTGCCTACTAAAAGGTAATTCTTCTTTCATTACAGTCGATACCCAGTCGATAAAGAAGGCCTACAAATATTAAAGAAGTAAGATGAATGACTTTCTAATTTCTAAAATGCAAGCGGTAGGCCCGGCGATGCCTTCCAAGTTATTAAGTTATGTAGGTCATGGAGGTTCCCCCATGTCAACTTACCGGCTATAGTTCCGTATTCAACAAATTTTTATTTTTAACTCTGTATTTATTTTTTTTTTTAAATAAATTTCTCAATTTTATTTTTGTTTTTAAAGTGGGGGAGGGTCTCTCCTACCCTAAAAATTACGTTGAAATGTCCCATCAACTGGCGACACGATAGAAATGAATATCATAAAATACGAGCACTTATTTTTATAAACCAATAAAAAGACAGCACTTTTTCCCGGTGTTCATCTCAGGGCAGGGCTGTCCAACATCAAAAGACATTCAGTGATTCAATATTGTTGAGAAATCGTATGAGAGCACATGAAAAGTGGTGGCATTCGAAAAAAGAAGGGGTGTGGTAAAAGGAGAGGGATGCTTGACTGGTAGACAAGTAGCAGCAATTTATGCTAATTAAGTGCATCAGCATATCAACAATGTTGGAGCATGGGTGACATGAAATCGGATACTAAATTCTTCTCCTTGTGCTGCTTCGACCGGCCTAAAAGGGTGGAGTACGGGGGGTTGTGATGTACGGGTTAAATTATTAACGGCGGTGGGGAATAGGAATTCTGAAACTTAAAGAGCGCTAACTTAATGTGTAACTAACTGATCATCTTAAATATGTCCATGCACACAAAAGGCACTGGTTTATATGAATTAGATATGTGAGCACCATGATATATGATGTACTTACTTAATAGGATTATTGATTATAGCAATAAGACAGGAGTTAACAAGGTGAGATCTAGGGCACTAAAGGTGTCGCAAATAACTGGAGGTGAATGTGAACCAGTTGAAACGTAATAGTTAGTCAGTCTAGGTGGGGCATTAAGTCCATCCTATATTTTTTTAGACGAAATCAGACAAATACCTGGTATTCAGTTATCTGAGAATGATAATTTCCAGGAGTAGAAAGCAGGATAAAAGTTGTGTTTGTAGTTAGTGCAATTCAATCAGGTAGAAATTGCGAGAGACAGTATGAACACTGTTTGAAATCACTTTTATTTCTAAAAAAAAAAAAGATAAAGTCAAAATGGCAAGTAAAAACGGAAAGTTACAGACGAGAACCGGGGTACATACATCACAGCATAGGAACTGGAATTTTTGTTTTCATTGTTTATTGAAAAGTCAGTGTGCCACACTTATCTTCCTGTTATGAAAAAGGCCAATCTACAGAGACACCACAAGTCAGTGCATGCAGATTTTTTTTCCGTATAAATCCTTTATAAATTCTAATATTGAGCAGCAATGGGGGGTGGGGCTTACATTTTGAAAAAAAAAAAAAAAACTTTCTTTTTTTCAAGGCTCGCAACCACACAGCTTTTAACGCCCCTGAAATATGTTGATACTTTAATGTGCCATCCGCTTTTACACTACAGATTTATTTCACCAACAATTTTAGAAAAAACAAAAGAAAATTTTACTCACCAAACGCACTTGCGATATTTTTTAAAAAAAAAGAATCTCCATTAGCGCAGTTATCGGGAATTTCATTTTATCTGCCCCTTGAAAAACATATTATTTTTTAGGGGTTTTGGGTGTGGCGATGGGGCTGAAAATTGGATAGTGTGTTGTCATTGGCATTGAGTCTATGTGCCAAGTTTCAGCTGGATAATCTTGACGGAAAGTGGACCAATTTGCCGTCCGATGATTTTGCCACCCAGCAAGTGTGTCAGCCACCCACAAACAAAAGCGAAGTTAATATAAAAGATTTTTTTAAAAAAGGAATAGTCTACATTTCGCTGTGCGCACACTTTAGCAAGTTTATACTTACTCCATTCATAAGTGAATAGATCGCACATTTTAAATAGAAATAGCGTGTTTATATTTAAGTCCGATTTTAGTCAAATTTAGAGGGTTTTATTTTACACTGCTCAGTGAAAAATCGCAATAGTATTCAAAATGGACTCGGATGATGAATTTAATAACAATTTTCATATTTTTATCATTCAGAAAACATTCTTATGTTAATTTCACTCGTATCCGGAAATTTGATCGAAAGAAATTTCGTCGACGGTAAATTGATCGACGGTAATTTGATCGAACGGAAATATGGTCGAATCTTTTTTTTTTCGTTTTTACGTTTAAATTTTGCTTCAAATGTCTTTTTGAACGCATTATTTTGTTTTACTATATAGTATAGTGCGTTCAAAAATAAAATTTGACGAAAATCTTAACGTGAGAACTGAAAAAAAGATTCGACCAAATTTCCGGTCGATCAAATTACCGTCGATCAATTTATCGTCGACGAAATTTCTTTCGATCAAATTTCCGGTAACCAATGTCACTAGCTATGTAAAACAGATTACGATAGTTAAATAACGAAGTAAAATAAATTTCGTCCTCTAAAAGCCGTCTTGTTAAAGCTTACCGTCAACTTATAAAATTTTTTGAAGAAAAAAAGTAGGCCTACGTGAGTAAAATGTTACAAGGATTGAACTCAGTGGCGTAGCTAGGGGAGGGGGTCCAAATTCGAAAGTCCCCCCAGGGCCCCTACTTGAGGGGGGCCCCCAAGGGCGTGTCCGAAAATTTTTTTTTACATTAAATAATGCCGAATGTCAAAATGCAGGGGCCCCTAAAGAGGCCTAGCCCCCGGGCCCCCAAATCCCTAGCTACGCCACTGATGGAACTTTGTAGTTTTTTTTATTGATATTCAATGGGCTATGTGGATATAAAGTGTTAACTTTAAGTTATCAGCTGGAGTAAAATAATAATTACAAATTGAATATCAATCTCACTGATTTCGGCTCTAAAAAAACATATACAACGAAAAAGGTTTACACCCGCCTTTGCCTTTAGTTTTAGAAAGCGTAACGTGTAGCCTACAATTAATGAGCTATGCCGTTGTAGTAAATAGATTAATAATGAACAATGCTATGAACTGATTGAGAGTAATAAATATATTTAATATTTTAATAGACATTAAAGTAACACCGAATAATATTTCAGTTTGTGTTAAGAATTAAACAAACATCTTTGTAATTATGGTTTACTAATCAAAGTAGTTACCACCGTACTACCCTAAATTAGTATTAGCATTAAGGCTCAGTTCACTCGATCAAATCAAATTCCTTTCAAATTTTCGTTCATACATTTGATGCAATTTTTGTATGAGGTGATGAAGCCCTGTCATAACTTTCAAATTACTATTTGATCAAATTCTCAATTCTGTCAACAAAAAGAAACCACGCACAAAATAGTGCGTGCAGACAACAATTTGACGCAAATTTGAAGCTGAGTTGAAAGGAATTGATTGTGTGAACTGACGATAACGAAGGAAATCGATGAAAGGACGGTGTCTCCAAATTTAGATGGTCTACCGATCCTCCATTTGGTCAGCTTGAACGGGCCAATACGATTCAAGCTTCTTGTTTTCCCAGTTGAATTTATTGTGCAGCCAGTTTTGAACGTGTGTTTTGAGCCAAAATATTTATTTTGCAAGATCCAGTGAAAATTCTTACAAAAGCCTGTACGCCGTACAACTTGACAAACGTTTAAAAATGAAAAATGTACGGGTAAATCACACACCTGGCCTGTATGCAACTCAATGGAAACAAAAATTACAGACAAATAGATTGACAATTTTTATGGACACGCAAACATTTTTACGGACACACTTTAAAATGAACCTGTTGCAACTAAAAATAAATCAATATCCACACGACTTTAAATATCTATGTCACATAGTATGTGACATTGTGTTAATACAAATTTAAAGAAGGTTAGAAGAAATCATAAACACAGTTTTCACTTTATATTTCGAATCAAACATCTTTTGTACAATGTCTAATTTTTTTATGGACATATACATGTTAGGTCAGTTTTTTTTGTTTTTTTGGGTTTTTTTTTACTGACTGTCCGTAATAGCTAGATTGTAACGCAACGTGCATTCACTATTACCACTATTCGCTTACGGCTTACACCAACTCGTATATTAATTTATATATAATAGGCCATGTAAAAAAAAAAAAATTTAAAAAAAACATTCATAGCCAGAAAAATCGCAAGAAATTTTTTGATTCCAGATGGATAGCAAACTTTTTGGAATCGGTAATTTGTCGAAGCACTTAACCATCTGTTATTGTATTTATTTTTTCAGTTGTCGCATTTGATAATGAAAGGCGCGATCCATAAATGATGAAACGCTATTGTGGCCGATTTTTTACCTATCGCCACAAATTTTGTCACCAAAGTTTGACGCCTTCGTCACAAATTCATGCCCCTCCCAATGTCCCCCCCCCCGGGGAAAGCCAAGAGCCTCCCCCCCCCCGGGAGCAAACAAATGTCCAACAATAAATCAACTGGAACTGCTGGCACTGCGGGCATTTCAGAAAGTAACACTGTTCTTAACTTAATTAAATACAAATTTGATGTGTATATTTATTTATATGTTGCCTTGAATTTTTTTTAATTTAAGTTATTAAATTAAATTTATTATTTGAGCATTATTTATTAAATTTATTATTTCAGAGTCGTCTATTTTTCGCATCCCTTCAGCGGCTCTCACAGCAAGCCTCTGATATCCCTTAAGGGGGTCTCGCGGTAAGACCCCAAATTCCTTTCAGTAGTCTTCGCAGTAAACCTCTGCGGCGGAGGCAGTACAACAACATTTAGGGACTTCATTTTAGAAGGGCAGTAACTCATAGAGTGGGAGAGGTAAGATCTCTACGCCAGATAAAATACGGATCTGACAATTGATCCGCATCAGAAACTGTAGTATAAGCCATTGAGTTAAGTGAAAGATTGAGACTTATTGTATACCAATTTCCAATGTTAACAAAAAATATTTAAATTAAATAGCCACATAATTAAAATGCAGTTGTTTGGATTGAAATATTTTGTTTAATAGTTTTTTTAGAATAAAACACACGACATACCAAAAAAGGTAGTTTATTATATCAAGCAGTTATCGCTTCAAAAAAAACAATAAAAGATGCATACAAAACTAGATAAATNGTCCGGAGGTGGTGTCACCATGCATTTATCGCACC